AAGGAAGGAAGGAAGGAAGGAAGGAAGGAAGGAAGGAAGGAAGGAAGGAAAAATCAGAAAGTATTTTGAACTGCCATTTAAAAAAAATGAGAATTTGTGGGATGGTGCTAAAGCAGTACTTAAAGTGATAATTACAGCACCAAACACCTATATCGGAAGACAAAAAAAGAAAGAAAAAAGAAGAAAGGCCTCATGCGAATTAATGATGTCAACATCCACCTTAAGAAATTTAAAAAAAGAATAGAAAAGAGAACAGAATGTAAACAGAAGAAGATTTCTAAGATGTCATCATTGATAGAACTAGGTAAAAATCAGAAACCAGGTACTAATTATTAGTAATAAGGTATCTGAGCACAATAGTTTCCTTTTCTATACTAGAATTTATTTTTTATCTTCTACTTTTTCTCCATTATTGATCCTTGTTTATACCTCTCTATTGTGTCAACTTTGTCTATTTATGTGAACTGCCCTGACTTACAAATTATTATTTTAACTTCAGACCTTTATCTCGACCATAACATATAACATTTAAAAATATCACAACTAGTCACTAATTATTTTCGTTATAGTGACCAACTATGTGCTAGGTACTAATAGAGACCTTAAGTACTCTCTCATCCAAATATCCCTACAACATAGGAATGAATTGTCACTGTCACTTGTTAGATTACAATACAAAGCTTAAGGTGCCTGCGTGGCTCAGTCGGTGGAGCACCCGGCTTGGGCTCAGGTCATGGTCTCATGCTTCATGAGTTTGAGCCCCGTACTGGGCTCGCTGCTGTCAGCATGGAGCCAGTTTTGGGTCCTTTGTCCCCTTCTCTCTCTGCCGCTCCCCCATTTGTGCTCTCTCTCTCAAAAATAAATAAACATTAAAAAAAAAAAAAAGCTTAGGAGAGACTAAATAATCAAAATCACACAGCTATTAAGAGACAGGAGCAGGAATCCAATGTAGGCCTATCTGACGATAAAAACGAAGAGTATATGACATTCAGGGAGCCCCTCTCACTTAAGAAATCCACCTTTAGGGGCACCTGGGTGGCTCAGTCAGTTAAGCGTCTGACTTCAGCTCAGGTCATGATCTCGTAGTTTATGAGTTCGAGCCGGCGATGGGATCTGTGCCGACAGTTCAGAGCCTGGAGCCTGCTTCAGGTTCTGTGTCTCCCTCTCTCTCTCTCTGCCCCTCCGCTGCTCAAGCTCTGTCTCTGTCTCAAAAATAAATAAAACATTAAAAAAAAAGAAAAGAAATCCACCTTTAAAAGACAGAAAGGGTGTATTTTAAATATAGTCTATGAAGCAGAACAGAGAATTCGAAGAAATCTTAAATGTCACCTAGAATAAATACACCCAAATGACTTAAGGTACTTATCAGAGACAACACAGACATCTAACAGGTATCGATCTTTTCTAAAGTATATTAATGAAGCAGAATACATACCTCCACATGCAACTGTCCCTTCACATGTACAATGTTATAAAAACACGGTTATTAAAAACCAGTTCATGAGTGATCAGGGAATTTATTCAATTCAAATCAAATCTTTTGTATACAGAAGATAGTGCTTCTATACTTTAAATCTATGTTTTGTGGACATTGCCAAACTTCTCTGATTGATTCATAGTATTGAATTAAATAGAGGACAGTCTTGTCTGTTAAATCTGCATAATTTTTTAACACAATACAAAACTGATGCTTCAACACAACTACAATCCTCTCCTCCTACACCCTCTAATTATTTGAATTTTTCCCATTATCTTCTCTGTGGGATTTGATCCAAAATGTTTTCAACTTATTAATCATGTACACATCTCCTGTGATCTTCAGCCCACCATCTTCCTATTTGACAACAAAAAAAATGTTTTAATGGACAGAATGTTAACACAGAGTGGAGAATTGAGTCTAAGAAGGAAAAAAAGCAAAAACCTTGTCGAAAGAAAGGAGGTGAAGAAAGAAAAGAAGGTATGGAAAAAAAACTCTTCATCATTTAAAAAGTCCTAAAGAAAGCGGATGGGATGATTCGAGCTCAAGTTCATACATCATAAATTTTACAACTCTGAGAACCTCTTCCAAATAAATGAGAAAAATGTGGTAAAACAGTTACAATATTAAAAAACATA